TAGATGGAGATGCCTTGTCTAGGTGGAAACGTCGATTTTCCCCGTGATCCGACTTCGTCATAGATCAAGACAACAAATTTATTTTTATTAGGATTATGGGTTTTAATTGTAAAATAACTACGATATATATGTATTCTCTTTTGAAATCTTTTATTCCTCAAAAAAAAATATATATTTCTTTCAATGCTTCTCTTGAAAAACCGACCAACTCGCAAGAAAGTGTCAATAGAGTACGTGACGCGGTTCGCTTGAACCCTTAATTTTTATCGAATGTTTATATAAACATTGACTATTTATTGATACCTTATATCCTAGATTGATTTTTGTTTATAACTAGGCTTATCTTGTCAACAATTTTAATTTCTGCCAACGAGGGAAATTATGGGAAATTATTCTATCAGCAACGGAAGTATTATCGCGATCGGTGACTATCGATTTTTCATCGAGCGATCGCGAATCGTCTTCGAGGTTATTTTCCACTCAAATTCCGCGCCGATTGCCTCGCGATCGAGACGGCTTTGGATTTGCAAATGGCCGGGGTCAGACGGTGCCGATCTTCCAACTATTTATCGGAAATATGCATAACGAGCGAAAATATTTGCATCGGCATCGCATTCGAGTCGTCGTCGAGCTCGTTTCGTATTCCGCCTCGTCGGCTCTATGACACGTTCTATTGTCACGCGTGGAAATCGGTCGTAACCGAATTAATAATCGATCGTTGCTGCGTAATACGAAGTCGAGGCCTAATTGCGCGGAGAATGACAGAAAAGTCGCGATCCATGTTTCTCCATGCTCTTTATTCCGCCTCGCGAGTTCGTCCGATTTTCTCATACTCCGATCGATCTCCTCGCGAGTTTCTCGCTTCGTTCCCTATTTTTCGAATTCTTTCTGTTTCTTTTCCTTTTTTCCGGGACGAGGCACCGAAAGGAGCGGCGGCGAGAAGAAGAAGACCGTGGCACGAAGCAGCGCGGTATAAAATCGATACATTGTCCAACAGTTGTGCAACGTATACTCTCAGCCTCGATTTACTCCCCTGTCCCCTCTAGCCGTCTCGTCCCTTTTCTTTTTCGATGTAGCAGCGCTTTTTCTCGTCCGCGAATTTCGGTCAACCGACTAACGGCTGCTCGAGATTCGAAGGACGGTGGATTTCTTCATCGTATTCCCGCCTCTCGCTGATCTCACGTTGCTCCTCCATCGTAGAATGGCAGTGGTTAGCAGACAGGGCCACGAATCTCGTCGAAATCGCGCGATTTTCGACGCTGTATCGACGAAGACCGAGTCTAGACAAACTTGGCTCTCTATAGCTACCGTGTACGTCACTGCGTTAATATTTGCGAGAGAAAAGAGGGACAGGTTGGACAGAGGTTGACAGAGCTGTTCATCGATCACAACTCGTGACGGCTGGCAGCAATAACGCGTGGGATCGCGACAAAATTCCCTGAAAAAGCCCCGAGGTAACCTCGATGAGCACTCGCGAAAGCCTAATCCGCTGTTTATACGCGAGCTAATCGGTGGAAGCAGTCTGTGAACTTTAAATAAAGCGAACTCCTGCCAGCGATTTTCCTCGCTGTCAAAGCGCGTCGGAGTAAACAGTTCCCTTCCATCGGCGTCGAGCGGCCATATTGGTTACTGAAACGGGCCTAACGTGCAACAGGACCCCGTAGTAATTCGCAGGCCCATCTTCGAGTATCATCTTGACAGAATGTAGCTCGCTATCCTTGCAACGCGACACCCGGCACCGATCGCGACTTTCTAGGTGCTGTCAAAGCCTTTCTAGGGAGAGAAGGGTTAGACTGACGGTCGAGAATCGCTCGGGGATGATAACGTTGGTCGTGATGATGTTTATTAAAGCGAAGGTTGTGTTTCTCGGAGGTGGGATCGTAAATAGAACGAAACCTGGACGACCAGGTGCGAGGTGCCACCCCAAATCCAGGCTATGACGTAAGGGTACAGAGATGGCGGAGTCGTGTCCGCGACCTTGAGCTTTTGTCGCGTGCCAAGATTACATTGGCGAAGCTCGATCAATTATACAGCCCGCTCGTGGACACTCTACCCGGTTGACGCTTCGATCCTCGCTGTCAATGCAGCATCAGCTGTGCAGCGAGATCTTCGATCGAAGCATTGGCAAGCAGACTCATACAGAGGTTTCTTTTTCCTTGTTTCAAATGCGTGTAGTATCGTGAGCCTACGGAACCTAATTGGAAATTAAGCAACCATAAAAGGGAAAGCATGTGGGCTAGACAGAAACTAGACTGTTGAAGAGATAAGTTCAGTTATGTGCAAAAATCAATCTAGGATGCAAGGTGTGAATAAATAGTTTTAAGACCTAGGTACCTAGAACGAATGTTTATATAAACATTATATAAGAATTAGGGGTTTAGGCTAACTGCATCATGTATCCTCTTGACACTTTCTTGAAGATAGATGGATAGATAGATAGATAGAAGCACTCAAAGATAGATAAATCTTCCTTGAGTAATAAAAGAATTTAGTTATTTTACAATTATAAACCCATAATCTCGAAATGGATGAGTCTAGAATATTTTTGACGATTGAGAGAGAGAGGGTAGTTTTTAGGAACAATTAAGGCAGCTAGGGACGATCTTCTTGACAGAGTGTTGCGCGAAATTTTATTATTCAGGACTGAATATCACGTATAATTGCCCCACATCTTCCTAATTCGCTTTTCGATTCGTTTCTGAAGGGTAGCTTTCATAGTCGAGCCAAGATCTGTGAAATGAATGGAGTATTACAGAGGTACACAAAAGGGATGGGTGCTCGCGTGGAAATATTATCGCACGATTGAAGTCCACTTTTCCGCGAGTTTGATCATTTGCTTCGATCAACAAAGCCATTGGGGTGGTCCAGACTATCGAAAGTAACCTTCTTGGCCAGTTGCCTGACATGGACGACGTCCAGTGCACAGTGCTCGGTCAATAGTACTCTCTGCTGCTCGCTTTCTTCGGAATAGCCGTGTTGGCAAGCCAGCTGATCGCTGGTTAGACGTTCCAGGCGGTATCCAGTTCCAGCTGTGTACCTCGTATGTAGCCGTGTAAACAATGGCCATTTTAGATCACTCGTGGGAAAGCAATCCGTCACTCTATACGTACTTCCGCGCGGAGAAATTGGCAAAAGTGCGGCGCAAGGACAGGACTGAGAACCCTGGACTCAGTCACGTACGTTCATTCCGTAAATAAATCCCATCAAAGGAAATTTAAAGAAGATATATCAAGCCTCTTTTTATCTCGCATGAGGCTCTTCTTGTCTTGCTTCTCGAGAAATTCAGGCGAGGAAACAGTAGCCAGGAGAAAACGCGTCGTCATCTTCGTGTACACGACCTGTAGTGCATACACGCTCCTCTCGTTTGTTTTTCGCGCCGCTATCGATCCACGGGAATCCGGTTTTACGTTTGCGAGATATAAGGAATACGTTCGTATTTCGTTCCATCCAGGTGCCAAAACACCGACAAATCTGTCTTTTGTTTCGCCAAAAATGCGTGCAAAAATCAGTCTTCACCGAGTAACAGTTGGCAGCAGTTAGGTGTCAAGAATGGTGCGATCTCCTAATAAATATTCGTCAATTAATCCACGAAGATGGCATGGTCGAAGGATAGAGAAGCAGATGAATATTTCGACTTTTCTTTCCGAAAGTCTTCATTTGATTGACAGCTCCTTGGCTCGAAGGGCTGAATACACCTCGACCCATCGTCCCGCCATTGACAGTCCCAAGTATTTTAGACGTAAACAGTCTACGAGACTCTATCCATCGCCTATTTACCTCATCTGTTCCAAAGATTGCTTACAATAGCGTTCCTTTAATTTATAAAAATGTTGTCAATAGGCCGAGGTTCTCGAAATTCTGCCTTCAGTTTGGTCAGTCGAGGAACAACTACACGCGCGTCAATCCTCTGCTCGAGTGAATCGTTATTTGACCGCGAGTCGTTATTTGACTGCAAAATCTGTCCGCGTAATTGGCTGCCATTGTTAATCGACCGGGGATGATCGCTTCGTTGAGGCTACTCCGTAAGTCAGCTTCAGGGAATTATCTCGCGAATCGTACGTGTAGGAGAGGTCAACGGATATCGTCGGAAGGCGAATGGGACAATGTGTTGGGAACAAGGAAACGACCTTGGAACGCTCGTTTGACGGGATCCTCCGACAGGATTCCATTCCGGGGGATAGTCGTTCCCCGACGGTCGTAATTCGCGCAGCTGAATATAGCCATCATCCTTACCTGGCTCGTCCTCGCGATCAAAGTATCCCAACTATATACAGTGTCTGTCCGATGATGGTCGAATTAAATTTCGATTACGGGTATCTCGATCGATAACCGGCTGACTCCGTTGTTGTCTTCCAAGTAAGTCTTTATTTTCGTCACAAACTTGCATGCGAACTTTGAGCGTATCAACGTGACCAAGTACGTGAGACCAAGGATCTTTTAACACTGTGACAGCAAACTGACTACTAGAGGAAGAATAACGCAAGATTTGGGATCATGGCAATATTTACATCCGAATTATTATTAGAAATAGGTGGGCGTTGTCTATAAATCGAAGCTTAAGGGAGGATGATGCAGGGAAAGTGTAAGTCCAAGTGAGCAATAGGGTGAGCAAGAGGTATAAGCATGAGTAAGGGATAAAAAGGGAAAGTTAGCCGGTTTTGAGTTAATCTAATGTACATAGGCAAACACTTACAGATGACTAACCCTTTCACTCCTGAGTTATCGAGTACCAAACCCCCTGTCCCGAATTAATTTAACAAATCGAACAAAATTTCTCTCTCACCCTAAGACGTGCCAAGACACGTCAGAACAGTTGGATTGGATCGATAAAAAATGTTCTAACCTCTAACGCTTTGAAATCCATGGACGTATCACGTCCACAGTGCAGTAGTCGTGTTGAAGCATGACGTCATGCAACGTCTGCAGGAGTGAAAGGGCTAAACAATCACCTAACACCGTTATTGGTAACCACATACGATCGATGGTGATTTGCGTTACAGATGTCGATCTGCAGAGCCAAATAGACGCGTCGCTAGCGATGCCGGCCACTTATCAGACCCTCATCGCCCGTGCCCAATTGGCTCAGCAATGCTGTGGATTGGCGCGGGAGCAGACCAGGATCTGCGAGAGGCTGGTGCACGATCAACACCTTCAGCAACAGGGCTGGGCGGCCGTGGTGGCGAATCTGGAGGACATCACGCAGATGTTCCAGACGCGGGTCGACGTTCTGCAGCAGAGCTTCGCAGTCTACCTGTCGGAGAGGCAACAGCAAATGGAACTGCTGGAAAAGTAAGCGACACCGGGGGGGAAAAGGGGTCGCGAATTGGGATTTTATCGAAGGCGACGACAGATAGAAAAATGGATATGACGAAGTTTCGAAACGGGTTACGTTTGAGGCGCAGGGGCCGCAGATAATTAAGATCGAGCGCAACGTTCAATTAGAGTTAACGATATCATCCGATTTGCATAATCGCGATGTGACGGTGCTCAGGGCGTCGAGGTCCCGAGTTCGCGTCGCTTCCCGTAAGATACGGTTATGGCTGCTTCACGTTGCAAACGACAACTCGACAGCGAGTGTATTTTTCTTAACGACGTTAATTACGCGCCCGATAGATTGTTACGTTCCGCGGAATCGCGCGCGAGTAGCGTGCAGTGTCGCGTGACGTTGAAGAAGTCGAGGAGTTCCAGGGAAACAAAAACGCGATTGCTATGGCGAAGTAATAAAATCGCGGTAAATATATCGGACGACGCATAGCCATCGGACCGATTATTAGCAATTAAGCGAACTTCGAATTACATCCCTGGTTCGCCATAATCGTTACATCTCGTTGAACGGTATTTTATTGAAGATTCTCTAACTGGATTGTCGTTTCCGTAGCTTCTACGCCGACCTGGGCACCCTGGCGAAGATCCCGATCCTGCCCGCGCTGAGAGCTCAGGCGGAAGGTCTGCTGAGTCCGGACGATCAACCCGGACAGTCGGAGAAGGACTCCGAGGGCAGGGACGAGGTTCTCAGCCTGCTTCGATGGATCTCGGCGAAAGACAATCAAAGTAGTTTGGAGCAGGTGGCGGAACAATGTTCGCGGGGTTTGGAACAGTTCGACGAGAGAGTGATGGAGGCGCTGAAGGCCGAGGTGAACGCGGCCATTGACAGCGCGAACAAGCAGGATATGAAGGAGATCAAGGGTCTGGGTGAGAGGCTGTTCGCGTTGGAGCAGCTGATGGCTCAGACCAAGAAGCTGGTCCACGAGCAAGGAGAGCTGGCCCAGGGTTTCCTTCAGAACCAGAGCCGGGCGAACAACCTGGGCGATGCCAGTGTTCTTCCTGATCTCTGCACCTCGCATAGGCGTCAGCTACTGGTGATGCTGCAGAATCACAACAAGCTGCGCGACATTAGGCGTAGGTGCACCAAAGCGAAGGAGGAACTGTCGGTGAACATCTATCATCGCCTGAAATGGATCATGTACGTGGAGAACAAGATGATGGAGGTGGATGGGAAACTGCTCATGTATCACGAGAGCCTGAAACGTTTGAGAAGGCACCTCGAGGTGCTGCAGCAAATCCACCTGGCACCGCAGATGTACATGAACGCCGTGGCAGAGGTAGTCCGAAGGCGAACCTTCTCCCAGGCTTTCCTCGTTTGGGCTAGCAACCTGGCGTGTCAGTTGTTGACAGTTCATAGCGAGGAACTGGCTCGCAGAAGGGAGTTTCAGAGCAAATTTGATGGCCACTTCCTGAATACCCTGTTTCCCGGTCTCGAGGACACGCCACCCCCGTTTGCCACCCAAGCACCGTCGGTTTTTGACAAAGGACTGCCAAAGGTATGTCACACTCGTTCGTGTTTGGTCGTGAAAACGTCAACAGTCTCTGTATGTTCGTAATGTTGCAGTTGACAGTAGAGGATATGGAATCTCTGAGATCGCAGCTACCCGATCTGGCGCTGAACGTCTCGTCGCCAGATTTGAACACTATAACGCAGTTCTTCCTGTCAAAGAGTCTCACCGAGGCTAGCACAGACGGGAACAAGGAGAAGGACAGCAGCTCCATGCGCGTCGACGAGACGACGAAAGAACAGGAACGAACGAGAGCACCGATGTTGTTCGACAGGTATTTCTTGCATGTTCTATCACGAACAAGATTCGCTAGAGGCTATCGCGTAACCGCTGTCATTTGTGATTTTAGGGGTGGTTTCGAATCAGAAACAGACACGGAGGAGTTCGAGAAGATCGGCCAGGGCGCCACGGACTCTAAGCCGGAGTCGTTCGATGGCGCGAAACAAATGCGTCAGAAACAATTGGAGGTTGGTGCCTCGCGAAGCGTCTCCCCCGCTTCCTCGACCTCAACTAACGTATCCCCGCTTAATTCGAAAGTCGCGGACCTGACGAACCGGTCATCCTCCTCGAGCGAGCCTGGATCCTTCCATTTTCCCAGTCTATCCGTCAGCGAGCGTCCTGCTCAGCTGAGTCCGCTAACCGAGTGCGCCGAGAACGGCGAGTCGAGCTGTTTGCTTCATCGCGCTACTGCGAATGGTCTTCCTAAATATCACGAGCTGCCATCGACCACGATGGCCGAGGAACCCAACTCCCTCAGTCCAAATCCTCCCTCTTCCCTGTCACGGTCCGTGATGTGCGACGGCCAGCAGCAACAGCGGCATCAGCTATCCGGTAGTGGCGGTAGCAGTCCCTCCGTTGGAGTAGCCGCTACTGACTTCATGGGTACTGAATTTTACATGGACGAGTCTCTGCCTAGCAGTCTCAGCGAGCATCCCGCCGACGGCCACCACCAGGCTATCGTTTCCCTTCTCCAGGTACTGGACGACTTACAGCTCGCTAACAGACCTTGTAGTCGTAGCCGTAAACGTTCCATTACCGCTAATACGTACCCTCTTTGCCGTCCATTTCCTCCTCCTCTCCTCCATGTACGCGTATACGTGTAGATACGTATACAGACGTACGTCTGACAGTCGTATATACACGTATATGCACGTATACGTACGTTTGCTTACATATTCGATATTAGCATTTCTATTCTGATTCGTGTGTTCCTCGTTTTATTGCCTCCCCCTGTCCTCTGTGTATCATTTTCTACGCCGCCCTCGTATCTGCAACCACCTCCACTTTTCTTTCACACGAACATTTCGAGAAAGCAAACCCTTTACTCGACGTTTTGGTCGCTTACTACCTCGATTTTTATGTCCACTTATTTTTCCTTTCTGTGGTTTCTAGGTACTTTCGTTGTCATTGTCTTTACATTCGCTATCCAGTAAGCTATTAGCGCTGAGTTAATGCAAAGTAATTTTCGAAATCGTGTGGGTATGTATCTTTTGCCTGTCGTAATTCTCTGACCAGTTTGTTCGTTCTGCCTTCTTTTACAGTGCTTGCGTGTATCTTTATTTTCTTCGTTTCTTCCATTTATATTACATTGTATTCTACTTAGTATCCCGCGTGTCGTGCCGTGTCGTGTCGTGTCGTGTGAGTGCGTGTGTTTTAATTTTTTACAGGATAGCTGCCGTCGCACTCGATTCTCCCGATCCCATGACCCCGAAGTACGTTCCTCGAGACATACTCGAAACACGAGTTCGCTTTTCAAAATAGACTGACGACTTCGTTCGAGATTGTTTCGACCGGACCGATTGTTCGCTATACCCATGCTCTCTACCGTCACTCTCATCATCGTCACACACTTGACACCTCTTGGGATCTCTTACTTACAAACTATTTTTCCCCCTATTTTTCCCCCCGCTGACGACATTCATTCTTTTTCCACGCCTGTGAACGATTTTACATTTGATCGTGAAAATAGCTGTTTTCGACGTTCAGTCGAGTTTAGCACAAAAGGAAACGTTCCTTCGCCGATACTCACCGGCACGTCTCTGACGCTCGACGTTTCAGGAGAATCTTGGCAACACGCGCGAGGAAGTAGAAAGGCTTCGCTCCATCTTGAAGACGATGGAGGCTGTGGTGTGCGAGGCATTGCGATCCGTTCGTCAGGAGTTGGCTGTGCTGAGGGACGGGTCGAAGGAGGAGAATGCTGGTTTCTCCAAGATGACAGAGCAAGTACGCGAAGCTCTGTCTCTGTACTCGCAGGAGTGCGATCGTCGTCTCCGAGAGCGCGAGCAGGAGCTCACCGTGGACCACGAGCTCGAGATGGCAGACGTGAAGAAGCTGATTCAGAGTCGGGAGGAAGAGATATGCACGTTGAAACGGAATCTTTTAGAAAGGGAGACGGAGCTGAACGAGCACGAGCGTTTGATGACCACCATGCGTCAGAAGTTGGAGAGCAAGCAAACGGAGATGAGAGATCTGCAGGCGCGCCTGCACCATCAGCTCAAGGAGGCCCTGGACCAGGCTCACGCTGAGAAAGAGTCGGCTGTGAAGAAAGCGAACGACGAGAGATACAGGGAAATAGCATCCATGACGAATTCCGTGACGCAGTGCCAGAAACGGATTCAGAAGCTCGAGGAATCTTTGAACACGGCTCGCAGTGATCAGCAGAGGTTGGTGAAGAAGGCGACCGACAAGTTGCAGATGGAATACAAGGCCGAGCTGCAGTCGATCAGAAGCCGGTTCAAATCGATGGCTGCGTCGAGCATGGAAAGAAGCCCGAGCGACAGCAGCCTCGAGAAGATCGAGGTAAGCGTATTCGATAGTTCCTATGCATCTTTATCTCGACTTGGAAACTAATCTATCGCTGCATTTTCCACAGAGACCGGATTTCATCGAGCTGGCCAGTCACATGTTGGCTCAGGCAACGCAGGATATGAAGCTAGAGAAGTCCGTGGCTCTGCAGGGTCTGGAGGACGAGCGGGCAGATCGCGTTGCCAAGTTGATGTACGAGTTACAATTGGCCTCGTTGGTAATCAAAGAGAAGGATAGAGAGATGGAGGTGTACAGAAAACGGGAAACAGCTTTGACGGATGAGTGCAAATATTATAAGAACGCGATCAGACGTTTGATGGAGTCCGAGAATTATCAGAGCGTCCTCGTAGAGTACAGTCTGCACAAAGAACACAGCGACGAACAGCTGGAGATGAGACAGAGTAGTCTAGAGGAGGTAACGAAGAGCTTGGAGACGGAAAAGGACGAGGTAGAGGTATCCGAGTCGAAGAAGGTACGGCTAGAGGCGAGTAGCGATACGAGCTGCCTGTCCAGGAGACTGGAGCTCCTCGAAAACGAGAACAAGAGGTTAAACGTAGAATTACAATCGCTTCGCGAGAGCAAGGACTTGGTGGAGGCAAAGATCGAGCGTTTAGAGGCGGACAAAGTTCGACTGGAAATCGAGCTGGTGAAAGAACGATCGAGAAATTTCGTTGGTCACACTTCGTCTACGTCCTCGTCGGAGAGTCGCGAGAAAGACATGAACGCTTCTGTGGCGGTGCTGTCGGAACCAGTTAGTCGTCGAGACGCAGCGACCAGTCCAATACCGCAGTATCCTTGCGGCTGCGCCAGGTGTATGACTCAGATTCAATGGAAGGTGAAGGAAACCGCTGAGAAACTGGCAAAGCTAGGCCATATTACCGTGACCAGTTGCAATCCAGAAGATAACGTGCTGGTGTTTTGGGATCCGATCCACGAAACGTACATGCTGTACCAAGAATCGAAGACGCTTTATTTCCTCGATTTGAGTTGCATCGATGGATTGGATCTGAATTCAAGCGCTGACAAGATATCGGCCAATAATCAGACCATTGTCCAGATCGTCGAAAAGCAATTCTGTCATGCTAGAAAGGTAGGGTCATTTTTCTCGGCTGTTGTTTAAATACCTATTTAATTATCGATATTTCTTAACGAGCAATCTGTTTACCTTTTAGTCCGAGAACCGATATCGCGTACCACGTGGCACGAAATTTTACCGAGTGATCGTGAAGACCGTGGACGGTAGCGCAGCCATATTGGCAAGCATCGAACAGGAATAATGGAGCAGCAAGGAGAGAGGAATTCATCGATTCTCCGCTAAATTGATAAGCCCTGTGACCGCGGATCCGCGTCGCGGGGATGAACACCTGTGGCCTTGCACGTGCAGTTCATCCGACACGCGGATCCTTATCATACACATATTCGCGACCATCCGGAAACTCTCGGATCAAGGCCAAAACCTGCCAGAGCCTGTAGACGCATCCTTGAACGTTCACTTACCGAGAAAACACGAAGGTTTTGACGATGAAAAGAGGGGTATGGGTACCTTGACTGAGCACCGCGATTAAATAGGGATCAGAGACGAAAGGATGCGCTGGCGTTTCATTGTGATATAAGTAATTTTTAAACGAGTGAAACATAATTGCCGAATGCTGTGGTGGTTAGCTGTGAAGCGTAACGACGTTTGTATTCCTTTTTCGTTTATTTTTTTTCACACGAGACCGAGCGTGAGAATGAGAGAAAGAGGCAGAGAGTGTATGAGAGAGAGAGAAAGGGAGAGGGCGTAAGGAAGTATAACGAGCAACCGCGAATATATATATATATTATTATTACGAATAATTGAACGTCATCGACGATGATTTCTTTTCTTGTAACTCGATAGGCTGACCGCGTGCAAGGGAGAAGTTAGAGTGCGTAAAAGCGGAAGAGAGAGTTTTTTCATTTTTCATTTTGGATGTACAGACGAAATTCCTTCGTTCTGCGATTCAAACTATTCAAACTACTATTACTATTATTAACTACTACTACTATTACTGCTACTACTACAATTATCTTTGCACCGTGTGAGAACAGTATGACGAGGAGGTGAAGAAAAATCGTAGTAGAGTAAGTTTTACAAACAAACGAGCAAAAACAAAGAAAAAAAAAAAGAATAATTAAGATAGAGCAAAGAAAGGAGGTATAACGAAAATCACGAATGCTTTGTATATGCAAACTACTGTATATTATATATGTGATATATAATATATACATAAACGCGTGTACACGGTTTATCGTGTACCGAATTGGGTACCGAAGCGTGCAATATTCGTGTACGAGAAATATAACACACACAGATAGATACACATACACGCATACATACACGCGCGCGCGCGCACACACACACACACACACATAGGTCCTAAGCTGAATTCTAAGATTTTATAAAACGAAGTAATCGCGTGTCGTTCAATTCTCGTGACGCATCTTTAACATATTAGAGAGTCCGTTTAATTTAGAACAAAAAAGGAAAAAAAAAAGAATTATATATATATATAGAGGAGGAGTAGGCACCGTATTACCTCTCTCCTTTCGTCGACCACACTGTTTCTTCTAACGATTCCGTTTAGGGTGCCTCGTGGTCGATGCACCCCCCAATTTATTCTTCGAATCGCCAGTCTGAACGATCTCGGCGAGCAAATTCGCTGCGCAAAGAATTGGAGGAAAACCACGTGATATTGACAGATATATCTTTACTTTAAAGCGTAACGACGAGAACTTATCCAACGAGAAAGGATTAGATTTCTCTAGCCCTGTCGATCGAACCCGGTGCGAGGCACACTCTTCGTAGGATGAATTTTCTAGATATAAATATATATGTATATATATATACGCATACGTATGCATACGTGAGTCGCATCAAACTCGTACACTCGCGGTACATATACACACACACACACATGGAACACGTATATACATTATATACATATATATATATATATTTTTTTTTTCTATCGTTCAATGTCCAACCTGTTCGAGGTTCACTCGGACGACGATCGAGAGCGAGAAGCGCGAAATACGAGAGACAGAGATCGCTCATAGAATCTTTCAATCATCGATCCTCTCTACCATTTATGTAACCCCCTATTATTCTTCTTATTATTACGATTATTATCATCATTAATATTATCGTTTCTCCTTCGCGACAGTTTCTAGAGACACTCGTAGTATCGTACAATAGCTGTGATCGTTAGGCTCGACGTTTACACTTCTGCGTAAAGTATAGTCGATAATTGAATCTTGAATTCCCAGGGCCGGACGGGCAAACGATAGGGCCCGCTTCCAAAAATCGGTCCACGTGTACACTCTTTTTCCACGCTCTCTTTTCTTTCTTCGTTCATCTTTCTCTTGCCCCCCTCCCCCGACTTTCCCCCCTGCTGCCGAAAAATCGCGAAAGACGCGAAGAAAGGGAGGAAAAGGGAAAGGAGAAAAATTTACGAATAGGCACACGTGCACACGGTGTACCGGAATCGTCGGTTCAACGAAGTGCTTGCTCGCTCGTCGGCCTTAATTTTCCAGTTTCGAGGGGGTTACCCGTGGACAAACACACGTACACACGCGCATACACAGATGCTGATGAGTAAGATAAAGATGAGAAACAGAGGTTCCGAGAGAAACGACACATTTTCTCCCTCGAGTGGCTCGTTTTCGAACGACTCCTCTCTCTCTCTCGTCCATCGAGGACGAGGGAAAGGGGAGAGGAGAAGAGAGAGAATGGAGAGAAAAGAGGAGACAAGTGGACAGAGCAACTGGCGTACGCAGACACGCATGCATGCACAGATTTAGCACGAATTCTATGCGGAATAACATGGCCTCGCCGGTCCTCTTTGTTATCCACGAGTACATTTCCTCCCCGGAAACCAGGCGATCGACGTTCCATCGCGGATGGACGCACCGTGCACGTGGAAATCGCATATCCAGAACCCTGTGCCTAGAAACGACATAACCTCTCTATCGTTTCTCGCCTGGAACACGCGTTCTTGACCCCCGCCGGGGTTCCCCCACTCTGAATCAAAATACAAAGCGGTTATAGAAGTATAGAAGCATTCCACGCGAATGGCTAGATCGTGATAGACTCTCGCGATAGACGATCTAATATTTAGCGAATCCTATAGCGGATCATTGGACGCGTCCACGAGTTGACGAACGATGTCGGGAATTTGTATTAGATATTTAGACAAGCGGTATTTCTACGTGCACGACAGCCGACGACACGCAACCTAACCTAACCTAACCAGCAGGCTGCGCGACGCACGCAGTGGCGCACTCTCCCTCCGCACAATCCCCTCCATTTTGCTTCCACGAAGCTGGTGAACCCTTGGCAACACGACGAGAACGCACCGCTTCGCGAAGGGCACGCGTTTCACGAGTAGTCGAGCGATTCCGCTTGCACGCTTCGATCCACAAGCACGAGCCGATGCCGGAGGAGTATTTAGCTGCAACGTCCTGGGACGGTCACTCGACGCGGCAGCTTATGCTCCGACCTGGCATCCCGAGCTTTATATTCTTCGTCCTTTCTTTTGTCCCTTCCTCCAGAGAACGATCGTCGCGGAAGATCGTTTTCGATCGGTCGCCGAGCGGTTCGAGGAACTAGACGTTAGGTTAGTAATTTTTAAGTTGACTCGAATTCACGCATCTCTCAGACACGAGTTTTAGGATTCCGATGCGTGGTCTATCGGCTACGAACAACGTGACGAACGTTCTTCGGAAGCTTTAAATCGAATACTCGTGAAAGTTGAAGAGAGAATTCTGGAAAAATTCTGTATCTCGATGACCGCAGGAGACTTTGCACTCGCCCGCGCTCTATTTTTAATTTTCTTACCCACTCGGCGATTGCGAAGTTTCCTAAGCGTTCGAATTTCCCGCTCGAATCGCTCAGCGTCCTTCAAGAGATCGAGGAACAGCCGTGATCAGGATCTCTTTGCGCTGCTATGATCACGCCGAGCGACTTTCCACCCTTTTCTACTAGAATTTTATCCCTGTTTCGTTTCCCGCGCGTCCTTTTCCAGGAAACGCTCGAATCCGCGCGGTGATCGAGCGATTTGCGCATCGAGAGTTGGTCCGGTAATCGAAAGCGACGATTCCTTCTGCGTCGCGACGTCGCTTATCTTCTCCCCTTATCCGCTTATCTGTCCGTTTACGACGCGAGACAGTTCGACGACTCGACGAGCACTTAGTTCGACTCCGCGAAACCAGAGGAAGCTTTGACAATTGACAGGATCGTCCTCGCGATCCCACGACGCGTTGCATTTCGTAGATCCGTCGGATCTTCGTCGATCTCGCGTCCCTTGGTCGTGGATCTTTTAATTCCCCAGTTTATCCCGGGTCACGTGCGCGCAAAGACGCATACGATGCACGTTCGAGCTGTTACTTGTCAAATGACATGTCCCGTGACATCGGATAGACTCGCGAGTCGGCTAGCCAGTGCGAATGTGTCTTAATTCGAACGAATCGCGCGTTTCGTGTCCATGACGATCATGTTGGACTAATTATCGTCGATTTCCCTTTTCACATCGATCATTCCGTCGTCCGTCCTCGCGAGATCGGGCTTTGGTCCCTGGAGGGCGCTGGCTCGAGGTCCTGGACGCGGATAGGGGATGAAAGGGTGACGAACGCGCGAGGATCTTAGGAATTTTGTAGGGACACGGGGAATGACGGTGATGCGGATGAGAGAGACGGACTAGAACGTGGAGAGTAAGAGAGAGGGAGAGGGATGACGGAATAGGGAAGGATCGCGGATAAGCTCGGAGAGGAGAGAGGATAGAGAAAATGTGGAGGATAGAGCCGCGTTTTTATTTTTCTAGCGATTCTCTGACGGATAAACGAACGTCGTTTGTCCCCTCCCCCGCCCTTTTTTACCTAGGCGCCTAAAGAGAGCGAGTGAGTATTGTGTGTGTGTGTGTGTGTGTGTGTATGTGTGTGAAAGAGAGAGAGAGAGAGAGAGAGCGAGAAAAAAGAAAAAGGATGAAAAAAAATTACACGATGATGTAAACGTAGATATCGATAGAGTTTGTTTTACGTGTGACGTGTATAGGACAAAATGTAATTCGATATTAATAGTATATTCTTTTTTTTACTGACCAAAATTTATACGCTTAGAAAACGTTTATACACTCTGTGTGAGGCGGTAATCGTAATTCACGTACAAAAATGGAGCGATTAAACGAAAAAAAAAAAAAGAAGAAAAAAAGAGGAAAAAATATGGTTGGGAAAGAGGAAGAAGGGAGATCGGAGGAAAGGAAGGGAGAAAAGAGAGAAAACGAAAGTGACGTAGTGACACGCGAAGGACGCGGAGACGACGGAGAAGACGAGCTATCGGACGATGTCGCGTGACGTGATATTTCTAGCTATTGCTTCTTTCGACGACAGCGCCGTGTGTCTTTTCTTTCCGTTTCTGTTTCACACAGCGTAGGAAGAAAACCGATTCCGTTTGGACGAGAACGTGACGCTGCTCGCCACGCGAATTACACCTCGACGACCACACGGCACACCCATCCCGCGAGACTTTAGCGACCCAACGCCGGGGTTCGACCGCGCACCTGTAGCGACATCGTACATCACACACGTAGCTCTGAGCTGTGGCCGAACCACTGTCAGAATAGCGAACAGAGCAACAAAAGCAACGAGATCCGCGAGCGCGTGAGCTTCGCTCTCGAACGATCCAACGAGCACCCCGATCGCAATCGATCCCGCCAATTGCCCTCCCGTTCTCTTCTTCATCCTCGTCCTCGTTGCCACCTAGTAGCACGCTTCTGCAACTGGACGAGCGGCCATTTTAGAGGCGTCGCTCGCGCACTCTTTTCCTTCGGTAGCTAACACGGTTCTTTCGGCGAGTGAACGAGCAAGGGATGGAAGACAGAGATGGAGGATAGAAGTGTGGTGATCGATTCGTTGATCGTTCGGCGATCCACGTGGCCGGATTCGCACCCGTTTCGTTTCTCATCTCCCGCTGTGCTCGCCGCTTGAGGAAATTAACGTAGGAAATCAACGGACCTCGACGGATCCGGACGTCGAGTGTGACGGTATCAGCGCTTGTTAAAAATGGGACGAAAAGGAAGGAAAACTGAGAAAAATAAAAAAAAAAAGAAATAAATAAACGGACGAATATCGCGCATGTAATCCGAGAAAGTGTAACGCAAAAATAGGTATATGATAATATTACATAATATACATACAATTGTGATCGTGAGAGTATCTGTTGCGAATAAAATAAATTACGAATAAACCACGTGACTCTTTTCCAAGCTACTTCGACTCGCGTGCTTTGAACCCTTCTCTCCATTTCGGGGGGCCCAGTCATGAAGAACGACGGTGCCTCGTGTTAACAAAAATTCCTTTATTTCCTTCATTTAAATAACAGTTTCGAAATTCTCGTAAGGAGACGTCGCCATTATCTCGCTAGCAACCAGTGTCCCTCGAGCGGATCCTCGGGACCGCGGAATGGGCCTTTTAATATCGACAGGGTGGAGAACGCGTCGAGGGGCGGCAAAAACAAAACTGCACGACAGTTCGACGCGCAACGTTCGAGGTGCAACTATCGTATATTTCGTACTTATGATACAAAGGAAGATGGTGGTGGGCCTGGTCTAATGATGGGGAACGTAGCTCTGTGCGTTTTGGGGACAGCCTGGTAGCAAGCTGGACGTGTCTTCCTCCGTGGAGCACAGCATCCCTACGAGGGTGTAGTCTACGAAGGGTGGCAGGTCCAGTTCGCTCACGTCGCCGTAGTTATTCATTCCTGGCTGCGTGTTCACGCCGGTGTTCAGCGCCATCTGAGGTAGCCGCGTGTCCAGCACCTCGCAAGTGTAATGGCAGCGGTCGTTGCTGGGGTAGAAGAATGGTTCCGGGCTGTTCTGCGACGGCATGGTGGTTTCCATGCCGTTCGATTCCGCGAACAGTCTCTCGGTGGAGTCAGGGTTCGTCTCGCGACCGGTATAGTTGTTCTGCAGTCTCTCGTCGAGGACCATCCTGTTGGTATTTTGATCCGGTCGATTGGCTAGTTGGTTCTTCTCCGATTGATCAAAGATCTGACTGTAACCGTCGTAAGAGTAGTGTTTGTTCTCCATGGGACTGCGACTAGGGCGAACAGAATCGACCATTCCGTTCTCCTTCTTAGAATAGACGTTGTAGCTTCCTCTGTCCATTAGTCCTGGCTGGCAGTTTTCTTTGGGGAAGCAATTCACGTCTCTTCTGGAGGGCAGTAAGTCTTCCTTGTGAGCATCAAAGCCTGGGAAGTTGAGACGGTCGTCTTGGTGACTCTGGGCCCAGTAATTGGCCTCGTGATCGTTCTTCGCAGACCCATCCACGAAGTTCTTGTGATTCTGGTGTCGCTGGTAATCCTGGAAGTTTAGTGGATTGTTCAGGTGGTGATTTTGGTTCACCTCCTTGTCGGGAACGAAGTGGTTCACTGGTCTCTTGACGCAGAAGCCATTGGAGTCCTTGTCGGTCTCGAAACCGGGGAACTGCAGCCTGTCGTCCTGAGACATGCTCAGATGACTGCTGCTCGAGTCCTCGCTGAGGAATTGGTTCCAGTAGGCTTGATCCTGGTGCTGTTTCATCTCGTATTTGATGGTACCGCTTCCAAGGTCGAGCAAAGTTGGTGGAGATCTGGCTACTTCTTGAGAGTTCATGGAGAATTCCGGTCTCAAAGGTTGATCCAGCTGGAAGATCTCTTCCGGCTGGAGCAGTTCTCCTGTGAACGGTGGAAAATCAGGGTAGGAGGCTTCCTGTGGCACTTGGTTCGGGAGATTGTAGCCCAAGGCGTTCTCCTGGGGTGGCACGGTGTCTTGGAGCCAGTAGGGGGCGTCGTTCGAGGCCGTTTGTTGGGGATACATGGCCGTCTGATGATGATGAGACTGTTGATAAGCCGAGGCGTTGGTCTGCAGACCACACATGCATTCGAACGGCGGGCAGGAACACGAGTAACCTAAAAGAAGCGAAAATATTATTGTCTCCGAGGAAGGAAAACGTATGCAAATTTTAAGGAGGATATATTACGACTATATCGTCCTTGAGTCCGTTTATCGCTATCGACTTGAAAAATGTCGACGTTTTTCTTAAAAAACGAAACAAAAATTGATTTCAAACGAGTTACGTGCGAATCTGCAATTCAAATTTTCGTAACCCAATGGTAACGCAATCGTAGCGCGATTTGTTGTACCTGTCGCCATCTAGCGGAGACAGTTGGCACCACCGGCGCGAATACGATCGCGGTAAACGTTCCACGCTCCCGAACGAAACGCGAATTTCTTGTAGAAACTTCTCGCAAGAGTTACGAAAATTCGTCTACGTAGTATCCAGTGCGTCGTGAATCGAAGGAAATAGAAGTGCTTAGTGATAAAACAGTCGTTAACCTTTGTCGGGTATCAGTGGTGGTGGTTGCGTCGTCCTTGGCGGTTGCTCGATCGCTTCCGAATTCGGTCTTTTCGTTCCTCGTAGCGACATTAGCTGAAAGAATAGGAGAATTTGTTGGTTAAACGAGTCAAGAGGCCAGAGAAATCAAGGAATCGCTTCCACGAGTGAAATATTACGTCCTGTCAAACCACCTGGCTCGGTGAGTCTCATATATATATATATACTACCGTACGTTAGTCGTACGTGCTCGTACATTTCGAACGTTCGAACATTTCGATCGAATTTTTATCGATAGTATCTATTTATTCCGTTTGAAGTTAAAAACGGCCATGAGGCTCGAACAAATTTTTCCTTATCGATGAAAGACACGACAAAAGTGAATTCAGTGATGGTTGGCGGAAAATTTTGATTTCGGCGTATCGTATCGATGTAATAATATGCGTACGTGTTACTAATGCCGCGCGAGCTACTGCGCACGCTGCTGCGCACGCTGCTGCGCAGGCTGCTGCGCAGACTGCTGCGCGTTGGCACGAGCGGCGGCAATTAATACGTGTTACTAATGCCGCGCGAGCTACTGCGCACGCTGCTGCGCAGGCTGCTGCGCAGACTGCTGCGCGTTGGCACGAGCGGCGGCAATTTGAATACGATTTAAATCAGAAAATGTAAAATATTAGGACGTAGACTGGAAATAATGTTAGAAAACAATATATATCATTCCGTATCTACTTGTTAGAAATGTTAGGAAAATTTTTAGGCTTCGGTTCGTAGATAATCTCGTCACATCGATTAACGTGAACTATCTCGATAAAATCTGTACGACTATTAATACTCCCATGAAAAGAACAGTTTTTCTCTTGATTCGAGTCCAATTTACAATTCAAGTTTTTCAGAATAACGATATTTTCACGTATATGCATATATACATTTCTCTATCTACACCTAACCTCGTTCGCCATCTATCGGCCACCGAAAGCAACTACATCTGCGCGAAGTATTTCGAGATAAAAATTAGGGAAAAATTACAGATATAAAAATACTATCCTAGAAAAATATTTATTCCTATTTTCATAACGAAAAAATTACTATAGAATTTTTTCTTCTCGCGAGCGAAAAAAATTCAGATAAATTTCAAAATTTGCCACTTATCTCGGAATCTCGATATCGGAAACTTAAATATTTCAAACGAGATTACGATTTTGAAAAGAACATACTTTGGAACCCAAAGCAGCCTCGTTCGCCAGGAGTACCGCCAATCCGCGCACCCTTCTGCCGGCACCCACGCTTCTCCTCGCCTCGGAAGTGGATTTCGCTTCCGGTCGCGGATGGTCGTGTTGTCCTTTGGCTTGGAAGAATATCGCGTGCTCGGTGTGCCGCCAGAAATGCGTCACGGGGTAACCGCAATGGCCACGACACGACAGTATCTCCAGTCGACCCGTGCATTGTCTATTCGGACAAGGCTTTCCCTGTTGCTTTTTCCTTGCCTGAAAATCGCCAAAAATTCATTTTACTACTCGCGGTACCAATTTACATCGTAAATCATTCTATTTACTTCGGAGACACAATTACTCTAACATCCAACGCGATAAAAATTTCCAAACACCGTTTCTCTGTAAAATGGACAAATTTTCACATCCTGTATACGCTTTGCAAAATTTATTTCGGATATTAGACATTATGGTTCCACGAAAATTTGATAATTGGATGAAAGAATAAATAGGGGGAAGCAGAGGGAAGTAATCACAAATTGCTCTAATCTCCAACGCGATAAAAATTTCCAAACACCATTTCTCTGCAAAATGGACAAATTTTCAAATCCTGTATACGTTTCGTAAAATTTATTTCGAATATTAGACATTACAATTCTTCGAAAGTTTGGTAATTGGGTGGAAGAATAAATAGAGGGAAGGAGTAGGAGGTAATCACAAATTGCACTAACATCCAAGGCGATAAAAATTTTCAAACATAATTTCTCTGTAAAATAGACATATTTTCTCTTCTACTTATCAAATGCTGTATACACTTTCTAAAATTTATGATGAATACTAGACATTTTGGTTCTTTAAAAATTTGGTAATTGGGTGGAAGAATAAATTAAGGGAAGGAAAGGAAATTTCGTCTATTACCTTGTCACAAATCGCACTAACATCCAACGCAATAAAAATTTCCAAACACCATTTCTTTGCAAAATGGACAAATTTTCAGATCCTGTATATGCTTTGTAAAATTTATTTCGGATATTAGACATTATGATTCCTCGAAAATTCGGTAATTGGATGAAAAAATAAATAGGGGGGAGCAGAGGGAGGTAATCACAAATTGCACTAACATTCAACGCGATAAAAATTTTCAAACACCATTTCTCTTAAAAATAGATAAATTTTCAGATCCTGTATACGGTTTGTAAAATTTATTTCGAATATTCGGCATTACAATTCTTCGAAAGTTTGGTAATTGGGTGGAAGAATAAATAGAGGGAAGTGGTGGGAGATAATCACAAATTGCACTAACATCCGACGCAATAAAAATTTCTAAACACAATTTCTCTGCAATATGAACAAATTTTCGTTCTTACGCGCCAAATCCTATATACGCTTTGTAAAATTTATTTCGGATATTAGACATTATGGTTCCTCGAAAATTCGGTAATTGGGTGGAAGAGTAGATAAAGAGAGGGAGAGGGAGGTTTCGTCGATTTTCTTACCTTATCACAAATCGCCGGTCGAAGGTGAACCCTTCCCCCGCCAGGTAGTATGCACTCTTGCGAGCAGACGAGCACTCCGAGGCAGGACTTCTTCAAGATGCTCACGTTGTGGTTGTTCGTGTTCCTCATAGCCCATCCGGACGCGTGTCTCCTGGCTTCCTCGCAGTCTGGTCCGTACACCCTTCTTACGTGTCCATCCGCCCATTCGCACCAGGGATCGTACTCCACCACCTGCGATCAGTCCAAAACGTTACTTCCCTATTTTCATACCACTCCTATAAGAAGAATAGAGAAGATGACTTAAATAATTGTCAAATAATTCTAATTCTCTTTGTCTGATCGTACTTTTACTCTCCTACGATATTCTCTCGCCTCTTAAATATATAAAACTGATCTCTGTCTTCAAGATTCTCGGCTTGCCCTTTTTAAACCTGGACCTACATTGTCTATCTGCAAACCTCGCTTCGTTTCAGACTCCGTGATCCTCAATCACGCCGCCTGATCGGTAATCGGAGCTCGAATATTCTTATATAACCCTGTCCTGGATCAACGATTTCTATAACTGTTAATTCGTCCACAAATTCGGAGATGAAAATTGAACACACCGATATTACCACAGAATTGTCAGATTAACACTTTGACTGCCACCGCGCATTTTGTATGTCACCCTCAGGGGACCACGATAGTATTTCTATTATTTTTACGATATAACCGACGAATTATCAAAAAATATAGCAAAAGAAGGAAAAAATAGTGCCAATTATTAATGTCTTCTAAATTTTCAAGAAATGGTTGCAATAAAGTAAATATAAATTGAAAAAATTAGTGTCGCCGGACACTGGTGCCCACCAGTACCTCACTGAGGAGGCAAGAGCCAATTACTGATAATCACTATGGCAGTCAACGTGTTATCCCTTTGCACTCGATGATTTTTTGGTTTAAGAAGAGTAGGAGTTCAAGAATTTTCTGGTATAAAGCTGACGATATTCTTCTGAGCAGTAAATAAGGAATCGTATAGTAATTAACACGTGGAACTACTTAATTCCGACATCTCGCACACCGTTACTTTGTCTTAAATTTGACATACTAATTTATCAAACTTCGAAATTTTATCAAATGGCGATTATAGGACGACTCTCGAGTGCAAAGAGTTAAAACTCGCGTGCTTGCTTCAAGATTCCTTGAAACACTGACCCATTTTGTCCGTCCATGCCCACTATAGCTAGCTCGTTGGTTTACGTTACGAAATTGGGGAAAATCGGCTATGGCGATCGAAATTCCCAGGTATCTGGATATCCCCCGTTAATGGGAATTACCAGAGAGAATAATGCGTAATTGTTTCATTAAACGAAAAGGGGGGAATAGTTACCCTTGGCACGTTCGAGTCGTTGATGTCCCATTCCTGGTGGGGATGCTGCTGTTGCTGGTTGCCGGCAACAGTCGCTGACATCGTCGGCGACCCAACGCGACTCCTGATCGGAACACACAACGATAAATACCACGATAAATCACCGAATCGAGGAATTATTAATATAAAAACGGAAATAAATAAATTACAAGCATACAGCCACCCCAGCAATCTTCGTATTACGTCAAACTACAAAATATCGATATCGATATCAAAGTGTGGCTCGGAAATGAATAATGCAGTTAGGAAACGTAAACGCAGTCGATAAATCACGGTGGATACTACTCGCGAGACAGCGTCGGAACGATCGATGTCTCGAGCCAGAGTAAATGGCGTTCCGTAGGAGTACGGTCGACCTTGAGATCCTCCGAAACCCGAATCTCGTTGCATCGGATCCGAGGACCAATTTAGGATTACGCAATCGCGGCGTAGCGAGAGGCAGGCAGCTTCGAGATAAAATCCCGATTTATGGCACGTAGCTGGCCGTAGCTCGCGCCATACTTATGGGAGCCCGTGGGTGGCCTGACAACGGGCACGTTCACCGGCTTTCCGGAATCCTTATATCCGTCGCGAGCGATTCCCGATCGCGGAGAAAAACATCGATCCTCGATGCACATGCGAATTCCACCAACCCTAAACGGCCATTTTCTTCCACCCTTTCCTCCTGATGGTCACTGAATCTCCGTTAAGCGGACGTTCACGAGCCTGTCAACTTTTTCCCATACGATTCTCTCGTTCCTCGTCCTCCAAAAGCTCGAGCAAGCTCTGACGAAACGCTACGAGGGTGAATTGATCGACTATGCTCATGTTCGTCGTTAGTCGATTAGGTTAGGTCATGAAAATTGAAATCAGATGGGATTCGCTAAGTAGCCGAGCGTTAGGAAATTAGAGAGCCGTCGAAACTGCTGAGTCGCTGGTTCAGGAACCCCGCGGTCAACGATTCTGCATAAATTCTCGAGTCTGCTAGTGTCAGGTCACGCAGCAGCTTCTGCCTTTCTCCCGGTGACATTAAAGTCCCCGGTTATGATCTGTGGAGGCATTAAGCTGCACCGAGACTCCGGGATGAGTCAATGTTTCCGCACTCTTCCCCTGCTTCCCCGTAATCGGGTTAATCCTCCCCTCCCAAAATTCGACGATCTGTAAGTTAACATCGGATGGCCCTAAGTCCAGGGAAGCTAGGTACCCCCCTAACCGCTGTCAATGAGAAAAATACACGAGACGAGTAGAAAATCCTACAAAACTCGATCGAAACTTGGTGTTAGACGTCAGACCATCCAATTTCCGATGACGTATTAAAATTCCCAATCCTCTCTCACGCGTCTCTCCGTCAGTGAACCCTCTCAAGCGCCTCGTACTACTCTTGACAGTCTCTAGAGATTCGTGCTTCTTCAGAGATCACCTGACCCGATTTTTCTCCGATTTGCGAGGGATTTCATGAATTGGTTATGGAATTGGTGCCCTGTGAAAGACGGAACTTCGCGTGGTTAACGTTCATTGAATCCGATCGGTTTATCGCGCGGCATATCCAAGCAGGTTACCCGGGACGCTGCGGCGTAAGTTATCGCGCGTTTCGAGGGAAAGCCGGAGGTTTGGATTTGACGCGAAACAGGCGTCGCTCGTACGAGAACGTTATAAATATCGGCGGCCAGGTGTCATTGACCATGAAGACAGCCGTAGAAGACGTTCGGCTCGCCTACGTCCTATCGGGACAACCTGCTATCTAAAGTTACAAACGGAGCCGTGGACGAGCCGGTGCACGTCGCTTTATTGAGATGTGACTACAACGTGTTCCTCACGCCGACTAGTTCCCCGTCGAGTGAAAGGAGAGTCAGTAATAAATTGATTGGAAAAGAATCGCGAGGAAGATAAGAGGATGCAGTCGGCGTAGCAATCGTAACACTCGGCCGAGGATTCTCTGCTAGAATTAATAACCTTCTCGGTATTTCGCGACTATAGCTCGACGATTACAGGGAACGAATTGGAAACCAAGTCGAAAAATACTCGCGATCGCGAATATTCTGCAACTGCTAGTCTCTCCGGTGAGCGATCGAGTTCGAGGGGCCCCTGAAGCGCGCGCGCGCGCGCCTCCTACGGTGTTTGTACAGGTTACGCGTTAGCTGCGTGCACACAAAGTTCCCGTGGGTTTTATCGAGTCGAGTCCGTACGCGGACGTTTACGATCCTCCGACACCTACTCTCGACGGGGCCTGTTCGCGCCTCACGTGGGTCCGCTTCCACTGGTCGCGAGGATCGCGCGGCGAATTTCGATCCGATTTCAACTTGGATCGGCGGTAAAGTCAGCTGGGCGATCGGATACACTTCGGTACGATGTTCGCGGTTATCGTCTCGTGATTTTATCGACGTCGTGGACGAAGATGCCCGTGGAATCGTGGATCCCACGGTGCCCCGTGTATCTCGGTTTCCTTTCGCTGCTGGACTCGAAGAAAATAAACTTGAATCGGCGAATGCACGGCGATGCAACAGTGGCAACAAAGTAGTCTGTTTGGGCCGGTCGTTTCGCGCGGAACAAAGCTACTTCGGGTGAACAAAAACATCGCTGTCATGGTCACGAAGGTTCCGATGCAGACCACAGCATCGAAGCGTAAAACCGCGACGATGCTTCTCGAAGGGATCACGGGCCTGCTCGAGACGTGGACTCGGGGCCCGGAGAGTGGCGTTTAATTCGCGGAGGAAGCGGCTACCTCGTTGAAAGCGAGGTTCGAACGAGCGCGAATTCGAGGCGATAATTTCACGCGTGCGTTTCGCCTGGTCGGCCGATCCGTTATCCCGCGAAGCGCAAAAGAGAAGTCGAGGAAGGCTGGCCCGGCACGCAAAGCGTTCGCCAGTACGTTACGTGGACGCGCCTCGCGTCCGGCGAGAAAAGCGAGAAGGGCCCGGGAGGAAGGGAGGGGGCCGAGCGAAAACGGAGAGCGAGGGAGAAGGAAGAGCGAGGCGGCCTAGGTGAATGATTGCCCGGATCGGTGATAAAGTCATCGCCTTTAGCACCGGCGTAAGATGATACATCGGCGGACGATGCTGCGTGGAGATTGTCCCGCGGTTCGAAGAGGCCTCGAGCCGGTGCCAGCCACGCACACACACACACACTCGCGGCTGCCGCGGGCCCCTCTCTATCGCGCTCTCTTCCTTTCCCTCCGGCTTTCTTTCTCTCTCTCTCTCTCTCTCTCGGCTCTCTTCTTCACCCTTTCTCCCGCCGAGAGGGAGGAAAAAGAATAAACGACGGAGAAGAGGGACCATATCCTCGTTCCGGTCGGTATGGGCGCCTTCAGAATTTCAGATATTAAGGCTGATACCGCGAGACCACTAAAATATCACGCGAGTGTCGCCGCGACGAGAGGCGAGATTTCTCTCTCCCTCGATGGGCCGCGCGACTAGTCCTCGGGGATCGTACCCCGAGATTACGTCTAAACGAGTTAATTCTCGCGGCTGGCGACTTCGATCACCGCCTCATCGCGTACGGAACCCTCCGACCGCGTGTACTGGTCATTACAGCCGAGGATTTGCAGTCGGTTCCGTGGCAACTTTCTTTCTCCCGATCCTGGTCCTAGGTTTACGAGCCGCGCGGGGTGCTTTACGAGACGCCACATTGGGCCCCTTTGTCCGCGCGCGCGGGAATGCGAAAGGAGGAATTGGGGGGGGGGGGGGGGGGGGTGGTGTGGATCACGCAGTGGGAATTTCTCCTCTCCTGTCGCGTGTCCTTCCGAGGGTATACACCCTCGTAGGCTTCGCGATTCCACCAATTATTCGCGTATCGTAGAGAAACGATGGAATTCGTCGGGATCCTCCGGTGAGGTTCGATCGATCGGCGTTTCGAGTCGCGTAGGCAGGACGCGGGATATTTACTCGGATTGTTACATAGCAGGGAAGCACTACGTATTCCGTTAGTCCTCGCTAACGGGAAAGACTTTTACTCGCCAGTCTCTGGACTCGCGTTTCCTCGCGCCGCGTTCGAATACCGATCCTTAAATCGGTGGATCGAGCAACTCCTTCTCGATAACTCGGTTCAAGGAACTGGACCACGATCGAATGGGATTGGAGAGGAACGAAAGTCGGCTAGATGGATGTTTATCCTAATTGATTCGTCGCCGCGCGCAATTAAGGTGAAACGAAGGCTTTATGAGGTTTCTCAATGGAAGGCCGGATTCGAGGCGACGACTGACCGGTTGATAAATAAAGGAAGATTAATTACGCGTCGGGTAATTGGCACGGCGTGGTTTTTCAGGGGGCACAATGTCAGCCCCCCACGTGTTTCTCTAAATTTGGAGCGCCTAAATTACGCTCGAATTCGCCGCTTCTCTTGCCCTCGTCCTCTTCCGCGTCGCCTTTCCTCTCGATTTACTCTCGAACGGGGCGCGCGCGGGGAATCGGCAAAAAACCTGACTTACAAAAATCCAGCTGGACCGGTTTTGTTTGGTTCTATCGCGTTTCATTGAGGTTCATCGAGTTTTATCGAGCCTTTTCTTCGTCCCCGCCTCCCTTAGCCGCTCCTCGCGCGCCCCGTCCTCGTGACAAACGCTCGCGGTTGCTCGCGGGACAAAGAAAAACGATCGAAAGTAAATCGCGGTGATGCAATTTTCGCTATCCCAGTTATCGTTGCTGTTCGTCAGCTTACAGAGGTGCTTTTTGTCCTTCCACTTTCCTCGCGACAAAATCTCGTGGCACGATCTAGCTGCGGGAGCGCTGATCTCTGTCAATCTTCTTGCTCGTGATGGTTCGCGAAGCGAGTCAAATTCGATCACGATCCAGCTTCAAGGTAGTTTACTTTGTTGCATTTCGCGGCATCTCGAGATGCCTCGAGAGCCATTGTCAAGTCGAATGCAACGAGTCCTGCGAGTTGACATGTCAAGTAATCGATATCCATAGCTGTGGGTATAGGAAAATACCGTGGATGGGATAATCTCTCAGAATAACTGTACCTGCTTTCTTAACGAGGAATGCTTAGGAGCAAGTGTCCTCCAGCTTTAGGTTTCGTTAGAATTGCCAAAAACACCAGATGTCGCTAGGAGCGTCTAGCAACACGGAGCGGGAGATTAGAACTCTCTGCCAA